GGCATAACAATCTTAATAAGCAGTGACAAGGAATTTGTGTCTATCCAAACAGACCACATCCGAGCAGTTACATGATAAAACCCTTTAACTCCTTCCCCCGCTCTCTGGACCAAATTCTTTAGTTTTTTAAAGGCGATTTTTACAAAAACGGATCATTTACTGGTCATTCACTGCAGTCCTTTTGGCAAACTCCCTCCATAAATGTGCAGCGTAATAAGAAGCATAAAAAGGGAGTAGTGGAATCACATTCCTCTCAGCAACTGCATCCATATTCCCTCCCATATCACAACACACTAATTATTGTTAAAGAATTTGGAATAACTAGAATTTGTACAGCGATCCAGTGCATCAGCCTAGTCAGAAAACATCTCTCCTGGTTTTCATTTCATTTCAGCTATTCTCAACTTCCAACCCCAGCCTGACTTCTTAAAAGGATCTGCATCCTGCTGCATGAAACAGATTGAGATATGTGTGTACATACGTGTGTGTTTATTATTATATTAAGGAATTTAAACACAGCAAAAGTTAGGGAGCATTAATAGCGACTACTGAAATGACTACTTCACATTCCCACTTCACTGCCTGTACCAAAAATTTTAAGTAAAAACTTAGGAAAATAATGAAGCCTTAAATATTTATGAAGTTGTAAAACCAAGGAAAACAGAAGCATTTAATAAAAGAAACACCTATGTCTTGTTACAGAACATCATAACAGTCGAGTGAAAATGCAAAAAGAGCCATCAGCTGTTCCAAGAGCCATATTCAGAGAACAGAGAAACGCCTTGAAAGAAGTGGTTCATTTCTGCTCAAGGCTGCAGAGCACTGCACCTCTCTGTACCAGTGTGCCTGCGCTTCAGTGCTGTCGCTGCTGCAGGTGAGTGTGCTTGCAGTCACACTGTGCACACTGTTGGCACCCCTTAGTCCTGCTCTCACCACAGCTTGCCGCTAGAGGTATCTCCCCAAGCAGTCCCATGGCACAGCTTCTCCCCAGCTTCTGTCACACACAAAACAGAGCTAAAGAGAAGCTGCTGCACCTGTGAGAGATGCCCAGCCCGCAGCAGATGAAAACCAAGGCTTTTACTGGGAGACATACACCATGGGGGCTGCAGATGTGGTCATCTCCATTTTTAAATTTTAGCTTTTCCACTGTGAACCTTTTCAGGATTCCTGAACTAGGAAGCAGAACACCAGCAAGTTGAATGCAGGCACCTTCAGAGAAAGCTGAGCTAAAACCACCACTGATCCTAGCAAATGTACTTACTAGGCTTGCAATTAAAGGTCTTAAAAAGTGACTGCTCATAGTAATACCACGTACTGGGTTTAATCAGATAACCACTACTACTTGAGTAAGCAAATAAATGTGTCTATGTGTACATTCCACTAACTTTGACATGACTGGTTCATTTTCCTTTGCATATTACACCACCATGTGGCCTAATGCTCTTCATATTTTCTTCTATTTACCATGTTTCCTCTAGAGATACCAGTACAGAAAACAAAATAAAATTAAAAAGCTGAATTGCTATGTAAGATAAATGAACTAACCAGAGCATTACCTGAGAGATCCTGCTAGATACTTGCAGCGATTTTTCTCCTGTTATAGCTTATAAGTTCAAATTTAATACAAGTGTAAATTTGATTATCATTTTTCCCTCTCAGCATCAACTTAAAACTTATTAGAAAGAGGATCATCTTCACCTTTGTCTGGGTAACACATGTGCCTCTGCCAGGGACACCTCTGCTCCCTAAGTAAACTGCCTGCTGCAACTGCTGAGGCTGCCTCCAGTTCCAGCTAGTTTGCTATTCAGGCTTCTCCGTATTTTTGCTCCAAATCCTTTGAAATCCATATGACCAGGGAGCAATGCGGATAAGGGATACACGTTCCACTCACCCCCACTCATGAAGGAAGCCAGGTTGATCTAGTTGAATCCTGTTTAATTTTCCCAACCAAAGCAGCAATGCCAGCCAACAAGGTCATAAATGTTTAAATTTCATGCAATCTCATGCACATCTAGCAAAAATTTTGCTATTTAGGTTCCAAGTTATGCAACAAGGTATTCTTCCAGGAGCATAAAATCACTTAAAAAGAAATGTATTAAAAGAAGTCTCCAGGGGAGTTGGGCAAGATCACAGGGAGAATACTTAGAAAACAGACTTTTGCAAATACTTTTGCAGAAGTCCAACAGCATGATCAATACACAGCTCTGTGGAAAATAGGTAACCTTCCCTAATTACAAATGAATAAGAACCTCGTTGTAATGATTATTACAGCCTTAAGAATCCTGGCTAGAAAGATATTTGCTTGTTACTGTGAGTAAATGACATGGGATTACTTTTCGTAGAAACGAGTGTTCTTTCTTTGCCATTCAGCCATAACAATTTGAAACAGCAGAGCAGCACATTCAGGAAGCATTACAAACACCAGACATTCAGAATGTACACTGCATGCCAAACTAGGTCCAAATCGTAATGCCTAGAATATATGTACTATAACTATGTCACAGAACTATGAAATAGAATCCAATAGATGAATACTTAAGTTAGAGAGTTGGATTTCCAAACAAATCATCAGACTTTAAATTTAGACTATTTGAATATTTGACTTCTAAGATTCTAGGGAATCCTCCAAGTCTTTGTCGAGAATAATAGTATATAATAAGTTTTGTTTTAATTGAAGTTTAAAGTTACAGGTAAGTACACAACTCCAGCAGATGTGAATTTGGCAAAACGTTAAACAGTGTTAGACTTGCAGTAAGTCTGAAAGAATATTTCATCTTCTGAAGTTTGTAGCTCTGTTCACACTGACTGCTCTTCTGTGAAGGCACCAGACACTCATTGTACCAGCAAGGCATTAGCTATCTTGAGTCAACTTTGGAAACTACCAGTTTGTTTGTTTGTTCTTTTTTACTGAGTGAAGGTGTACTTTGGAAACAATGTGATTTGTTGTTGAAAAATACCATCTCATTTGAAAATCTTTTGCTAGAAAATAGGAGGCCACATTGTATCTTTCTCCTTTATGGCAACATAACAAACTACTACTGAAACACTTAAATGTTCCAAGTTGCATCCAGCCTCTGTGCCGATTTAAAGGACATTCAGAACTTCTATCTTTGTCCTTTGCACCACTGAGCCCCCCTGAAATTGCAAGGGCTTCCCCTGATCAGGGCTGGGAAGACATCATGTATTGGAAGAGGATGCAGGGATTTTTAGCCTTCCTCTGGTCCTACAGGTAAGAGCAGAGCCAGCTGAGTAGGCAGAAATGCGTATACACTCAGTTGTTAAGGAAGTGACAAAGCCCAACAGCAATACTTGAACAATGCACAGAAAAGCAGAATCTTTTCTTTACAAGCTTCTGACAGTTGAGCTGTACTTTGAAGGGCTACATTCGTATTTTTGAGGGGAAAGAAACACATATCTTTCAAACGGAAAGACAAGCTAGAGCAAAGGAGAGCATGGTGTAAATGGTGTATATTCTAGAAACAAGTGCCTCTACTACCAGTTAAAAAAATGTATCTTTCTCTGATCCAGGAGATGCTACTGAATGAGACACCTGGAAAAGGCAGCTGTCAGTGCTGGCACTATCCCACCTTACTCCTGAGCATATAGCTCTTTCAAATATGGTTAGATTCAGAGTAAGATTAGTCAGTAAATTTCAGAAAAGAAATTGAACAAATAGTTTTGCCATATACACTTAAAAGAAAAAAGCTTAGAAAGTCTGCCAGTCTTCTTGTGGGAACAGAGGATATAGCAACTTTTTTTTCATTATATAAAACATGTCCTTAAAACATTTACACTGTAGTTTCTACATGTGGCCTCGTCCCAGGCAAAAGCCCTCTGCATCTCACCAAAGCACGCTTAAGAGCATTCGCTGCTCGTGTGATGAGAGTACTAGAGGACCCAGAGGTAAATTAGAAAAACAACTGTGTGTTACAGCTGAATTTCAAACTATGGAATGAGATTAAGCAGGAGAGCTGCGGTTTGTTCCAGAGCACCCCAAGCCCTGGGAGCACCGCACCAAACGGCAGCAGAGCTCACCAGGAGAGCACACAGCATCACAGCTCATCGCGTTCCCAGCCACGGACCATGGACACGTTTCTCAAACCTTAAAAATCAGCTTTATGAAGATGTATAGATACGTGTTCCTAATTAACATCTAATGGTTACTTTCTTCGGCTATAGAATATCACAAGCGTTTCAACAAATCCAGGGAGTACTCACAGCATCACTGGGTGGGATTAAAACTACAGCTTGTCCTGAGATGGATGCAATCCCTTCCTGCACTCAGCTCCACATGGCGGCGTTTCACGAGGCCTCACAGAGCCGGGCCGGGCAGAAACAGCAGCTGGGGCAGCGCTGCCGAAACAGTAACGACCGCTAACTTTAAGAGAGCTCCCAGGAGGCCTTCGTTTATACCTAAAGCGCAGTTATTTGTAACTTGCGACGGACAACACAGATGCGTTCCCCGTGAACGTGCAACTGAGGAGCAAAGCGCTGCCCCGCCGCTGTGAGGCGCTGCAGGGAGCCCCGTCCCGCTGCTGGCTCCGCAGGGGCGATTTGCAGGAGCGGGGCTGAATCCCGCCGTCTGCCTGGAGTGGTACGGTATCCCAGAGACGGGAGGGACGGCACCGGGCGGACACGGCCAGCGGAGCGGGCGGTGGCTCCGGGCAGGATTTGCAGCCCGCGTTTGAGCGCGGCGGGATGTGGAGAGGCGCTGAGGAGAGGCGCGCGCGCGAGGCGTGCTGTGAGGAAAGGCGCTGTGAAGGGAAGCGCGCCCACGCGACCGTGAACAGAAGGGAGGGCAATGGAGGCTGAGACGGCTCTGCAGAAGCAGCACCGCCGTGGCACGAGGCCGGGCAGGCAGAGCCGCCCGGAACAAACACCGCCCGACCACGCTGCACGGCCCCGCCGCTCGGCTGCCACCACCCGCTTCTACGCCTGCGCCAGCGCCAGGATTTGCAGGAGCACCGCCGAGCCGCCGGGGGGCGCTGCAGGGCCGCGGCTCCCTGCGCCGCCGCTCGTGCCGGGTGCGCGCGGCGCCGCTGCTCGGCGGGGCCGGTATCCGCCCCGGCAGCGCGGTCTATCGGGCCGCCATGGGGAAGAAACACAAGAAGCACAAGTCGGACAAGCACCCCTACGAGGGTGGGTGGGGAAGGGGGTCGCGAAGCGGGCGCCGAGCCTCGGGCCTGCCGGCCTGGCCCAGCTCAAAGGCAGAGGGAAGCCGGGGCCGGGCGGAGAGCCGCGGCCGGGCCTGGGCACCCACGGCCGGGCAGGGAAGGGAGAAACGGCGTGGGGAGGGCCGGGGTTACGGGTCTGCTGGGCGGGGGTGGCGGAGGGACGGCCGGGGTGCGGGGGGAGCGCGTTGTCCGCGCCGCTCGACGCCTCGTTTCTCTGCTGCGTTAAAGAGTACGTAGAGAAGCCGCTGAAGCTGGTGCTGAAAGTTGGAGGGAACGAAGTTGCCGAACTGTCCACTGGAAGCGCGGGGCTTGATTCCAGTCTGTATGAGGACAAATCCGAGCATGAAAAGCACAAGGACAGAAAAAGGAAAAAGAGGAAGAAGGGAGAAAAACAAGTTCCTGGAGAAGAGAAGGAGAAAAGAAAGAGAAAAGTTAAGGTATGCATTCGTGCTTTTGTATATTAGCAAAAAAAAAACCAACACCACCACAGAAAAATACCTTCAACTTTGCCTGCCCCTGTTACCAGACAGAGAGCAGGTATGCCCGCCTGTAACTTGTGTCCTTAATCAGAGAATGGTTTTGGTTGGAAGGGACCTTAAAGATCATTTAGTTCCAACCCTTCACCGCCCTCTGAGTGAATACTCTTTTCCTAACATCTCTCCTAAATCTCCCGTCTTTTAGTTTAAAACCATTCCCTCCCCTTGTCTTGTCACTATCAGACCGTGTAAAAAGTCAGTTCCCCTCCTGCTTGTTAGCTCCTTTCAAGTACTGGAAGGCTACAATGCGATCTTCCTGGAGCCTTATCTAAGCTAAACAAGGGCAGCTCCCTCAGCCTTTCTTCACAGGAGATGTGCTCCAGCCCTCTCATTGCCTTCTCACGCTGCAGTGTGTTCAGACTCTGTGTGTTGGTTTTGCCAATTCCTTTGTTTCAGATGTTCTAGAAAAAGGCGTGAAAACTCATCTCAAATACTGGCTAGTGTAAACACACAGAAAGTTAAAAGCAGAAATAAATGCTGTGTCTAAATAAATCGATTTATATCAAATAGAATTAAGACATCACTGGTTCTGAATTAAGAAGAAAATGTAATTCCCTTCTTTATCTGATCTGTATTTATAACACATTTCTGTGAAGGAAATGGTTACAATCTCATTTTAAACTTTCTACCTCTCTCTTACTAATTTTTGTATAAACTTCAAAATCATCCCAGAGGTATCTCTGGAGACAATTCTCTGTGTGGAGGCATTCCTGTCACGCTCTAAAGCTGTCTGTCATGTTTAAAAAATAAACACTCAATGATAGATTGCATTGTATGCTGAATTTTTGTATTGACCAGTAGATGGAGACAGTACATAAAAAATGCAGGGTTTCTGAAGCCTTATAAACATGGTGTGCTTTTTTGTGGTTTGTTTTGTTTTCATTGTGCAAGGTTGTTTTGAAAAATCTGGAGTGTTACGTGCAGTCATAACGCTGGTTTTGCAGGTCCTGAGGTTTTATAGCAATTTTTCTCCTTCTAGGAGGATAAAAGGAAACGCGATCGAGAACACCCAGACAGTGAGGGAGAGCAGGAACTGAAATGTCAGACCCCTATCAGATTGGAATTATCACCAGAGAAACCATTAACGAGTACTTTATCAAAACAGGAAGGTAGAAAAAAAATCTTTAGTGAATTCTAATTTTCTTCTACTGGCTTCCTTCTTATTTTTGTTTGTTAACAAATATCTTGATATTTTTTGTCATCCCCATGTTCTTCTCCAGTTCCTAAAAGTATTGAAACTGTTGCCATATATTTGTTTTGAAAAAGTAGTATCTACTGCCCCTGTCAGTATGTGCAGAATGTTGAGGCCAATGAGAAAAGTATATCTACGTATCCTGCTTTTTACCACTGTATTTGTTTACGCTGAATTCTCAAGATCAGTTTTGTGTGGTTGATGACTAATATCTTGGAAGTTCAGTATCACTTGCAGTCAGTTCCATTTCATATCCCTCCTATCCACGATTCTTTTTGGTCTAGAGGTGGAGCAGACACCGCTTCAGGAAGCTCTGAATCAACTCATGAGACAGCTACAAAGGTAAGTGTCCATGCTACAGGCTTTCAGAGCTGCAAAATGAATTTAATGTACATTAAGGGAAAAGGCCTATAAAAAGTTTAGTTCAAATACTACTGGATAAAACATCATATTACTGGAAAGTTAGGTATATTTTCTATATAAGAACTTTTTTTCCCTGTGAGATTGGAATAAAGTTACCAAAACTGTAATTTCATTTCTTTACCTTGAGTTCTCCAATTTTTACTATAAAAAGGAAGTACGTGCTTCATAAATGTAGATTATGTCTTATTAACCAAATATATTTTGACTAAAATAATCAGATTTGCAGAAGCAGTTCCTTCAAGCAAGCTCTGGTTCAAGGTATTCCTTCTTAAAGTCAAGAATTAGTGTACGTCTTACAGTGGTTGAAAGACCTTTGTCTTATTTTACCAGATCAAGCTCAAAATGTTGTTTGAGAGGCATCTGCTTGATTGCAGATTGGGAAACTGACAGCATACTATCAAAATGTTTGTCTACACACACTTTGCAGCTAGGAGTGGAAATCCATACTAAGCCACAGGAGAAGGCCTGAAACAGCAGTGGTTTCACCAGCATGTAGTAACAGTGAGGAATTCAGCCACATTGGCGTGGGAGGCCAGTCTGAAACTACAGTGTTCAGGGGAAAGGGGAAAAGAAAATAAAAATGAACAGTTCTGGGAGAGAAATTCACACCAAGTTATCAATCTAGCTTTATCCCAAGGAGAGAATATCAGGGAATGTTTAATTTTAAATAAGCTGTTAGAGTTGTGTAAGCTGAAAATGAACATAACTCTGAATACATGGTTTATTGTAGCTTTTATTCCCTTTGATTTAATTTCAGAGTAAGCAAACTAGTTAATGAATGACAAGTATGCATTCTTATCACATTAATTCCCTTTGTTTTATGTTGACCTAACTTTAACTTAAAAAAATGTGAAGAGAAAAACCTCAAAAGCATGTTATTTGTATTTTTCTTTTTAATCTTCTTGGGGATAGTTACCAAAATGTAGAACTAACTTCTGTGATATTTTTGTAGCACTTTTCTGGTATCAGGGTTTGCTTTCCAGCTTTCAGAAGTGAAAGACTGCTGACAAAAGCCATTTCTGGCTTCATGTTTTTGATTCTTTTTCAACTTAGTCTGTTCCTTTCTATTTAACTCTGAGCTCAATATGTTTTTTGTTATAAAGTTGAAACATAAAAATGTCCTTTCATATCTTAACAGAAAGGATCCAAGTTCTTTCTTTTCATTTCCTGTGACTGATTTTATTGCCCCTGGCTACTCCATGATCATTAAAAATCCAATGGATTTTAGTACTATGAAAGAGAAGATCAAGAACAATGGGTACCAGTCCATAGAAGAATTAAAGGTAATTCTATGAATTTCTCTGTGACTACAGAGATGGATTGCGTGCAATGTACTTGAGCTCTACAATTTTAGGATAATGTGAAGTTGCCAAAAAGAACCAGTACTTGTGCCTGAGGAAATGTTTCTTACTGACTTATTTGTGAGCAGCTAAGCTGTGGAAGAGAAGAGGAAGCATACCTCTGGTTTGTAAATGTGTATTTCAAGATGACACAGATGTCTTCATTTCTTATGCAGGATGTATATCAGCTTGTCCGTCAGTGTGTCAGTTCAGATCTTTACTTGAATGAAAACGTTAGCATTTGTAGCAGACCTCCCCGAAAAACAAGGAGTTGGGTTAATTTGCCTGTCAGTTACTTCATCATTGGCATCCTGTCACCTCAGTGCTAGCTGCTCAGCTTACCTAGGGATGTAGAACCACAAGTAGCAAAGGCCAGACTAGCTCAGTCCTGTTCACAGCAGGCACTTAACCCTGTGCTGTAGTGTCTGGTGGATCAAAGGCCCTGAAAGTACCATGTGTGCAGTGGTTGGGGGGGGGAATTGGGGTCATGCTTTCAACTACTACTTTGTAAAACATGCTTATATGTTCTTGTACATTTTTATGCAGTAAAGGGATATAGGCAAGGAAACTGGCCTATTGTTAGACATCATAAGTTCACTGGTTTTTCTTTGAAGTTCTTTTTCGCTAAAGCTCTAGATGCACCATTTGCAACGAGGATTATAATACAGCATACTGTAAAACTTTAACTTTCATTCCAAAATCGTTTGTACAGGATAACTTCAAATTGATGTGTACTAATGCAATGACATACAACAAACCAGACACCATTTACTACAAAGCTGCAAAAAAACTGCTGCACTCAGGGATGAAGATACTTAGCCAGGTAATAAATGATTACAAAACAAAATATTGAAGAAAAAAAAAAAAGCTGCTTTGACAGAGTTGTATCACAGAATTGTAGGGTTTGGAAGGGATCACTGAGTCCAACCCCATTAAAGCAGGCTCCCTACAGCATGCTGCACAGGTAGGCATCCAGATGGGTCTTGAATATCTCCAGAGAAGGAGATATTACCAGATAACGTATTTGTATTTAATATTTGATTTTTCTAAATTGCCTTTATACTTGCAAGCATAAGAAAGAACTAAAGTTAAATTATTCTTTGTGGTTAAGTTAGGAAAAAATTAATGTAAGCAGGAAACAGAAGGATTCTATTGTGTTTTTTTAGGAGAGGATTCAGAGCCTGAAACAAAGTATAGAATTCATGGCTGATCTGCAGAAGACAAGGAAACAGAAGGACAAGGTAGAACTGCAGCTAAGTGGAGAAGATGAAAGTGGTTCTGGAAAAGACAAAGGAGAACCTGTGGATGGCGATACCAAAGCTTTCAAAACACCTAACAAGGAACACAAAAAGTGAAGTATTGTCTCAATGTTTAGAAGATGCACCTCTTTAATGCCACTGAAATAAGCTGACTTACTGGGGACTTGGAGGTGTGGTTTTCTTTGGTACTGGGTATACTCTAACAGTCCTTCATCTCAAGGGAATAACATTTATGTAAAGTCAAAATACCAAAAAAAGTATATTTGGAAGTCTTTTATATGATATCATCATGTTTCATGGGGATAATCTTTTACTGCTCAACAACCATTTCAGTTATTTTCTGTTATTATTACCAGTTATTGTTAGTTTTAGTGTCTGTTTAATGAAAATAGTACTGTTTTGAAGAAAACTTGCAAACATGACCTTTTAAGTATCTCTTTACAAATAACTCTTCAGCCAATTTCAAGTTCCAATTACTATTTTCGTTGCATAATACTTACAAATGTGTAGCTATGGAATATTTACTTTCTAATTAAATTTTAATGCCTAGAAACATTCCTTTCTAATGTTCAGAAAAACTTGGGAGTTCATTTTCCTAGTTTTGAAAGTATAAGTACTAAAATACAGACTATGAAACATTTAATTTTTACCAAAAACATCCTTGTTTGTTTTGTCAGAGCAATGATATAAATTTTGACATGCCAAACTGTATCCATCTGTATGGTTGAACTAAGCTAAACAGATACTTTTACAATAACTATCATAAAAAAAATGCATTCATGGGTTTAAGACTCTCACATTTTTTCCTTCTTTATTAAATAGTCCTATTAAGTGCATCTTTTTTTTTAATTGGGGGGGAAGCTGTCTACAAAAGCAGTTTGCAAAAAGAAATTATCCACTGCCCTGTTCCTGATACTTAGCCATTTGTGTCTGTTACAGCTATTAACTAAGATATATTGGTTTTATTTATAGGAAGGACAAAGATCTACTTGAAGACAAATTAAGAATCAATAGCTTGGAGAGGGAACAAGAGCAGATTGATCGTATTGTTAGAGAATCTGGAGGAAAGTTAACAAGACGACTTGCAAACAGCCAGGTAAATCACTTTTTCCTGAACTGGGCTTAGGTAGCATCACTGAATCTCAAGGCATGCTCTTACTGCAGTTTGTATCATTTTACACACGACTGGTAATGTCAGTGTAAAGGCAGGAGGCAAGAAGAATGTCAGTCGAATGCATGCTGAATGTCATCAGCAGAGCAAGTTCATGTTACGTTTTCAGAATTCTTAGATAAAGTAATAGAGGAGGATGAATGCTAGGGATTTCAAGAAAAAAAGTCCTGTGTTTGAAGCAGCCACATATCTGAGCAAAGGAGAAGGAATCCAGTTTGGTAACACTGGGCCCATTTCTACCAAGTATGAGTTACATATCTTATTATCTTTTATAGAAATGTTATTATTTATTGTAACTTCTTTATCCCTTGTGCCTGGATCAGTAACTGTTACCCAGTGAAAGGCTTTTTTACCAAAAAAAAAAAACCAAAAAAAAAAAAGAAGAAAAAGCAGTATTCACTTCTAAGTCTGACGGATATTTCCAAATCCATTTTAATTTCTATGGATAAGACAACTTTCATTAGCTGTTTCTATAAATTTAAGGACTGTGAATTTTGTCAGGTGACATAAATTGTAATTTTATTTCAGTGTGCGTTTGAAAGAAGAAAGCCAGATGGCACAACAACTCTGGGTCTTCTTAACCCAGTTGATCTTACTGCAGGAGGTAAGTTTGCATGGTTCAGGTAACAAATCACTTACACCAAAGTATTCTGCTGCTTTTTTTCCTGCTGGCGTAGATGGGCCTGTAGTTCTTAATAGTCTGATAATCTGAATTTAAAAGGCTGCAGCTGGTGGAGGCAATTGGGGCTGCATTGAGGAGCAGCAAGAGGGAACCATCAGTGGCCAATCCTCTTCCATTTTGCATGAGTTGTTTGTGGGAGATGCAACAGAGCTTTTGCCATGAGAGAAGGAACTACCAGCCATGTTAGGGTACACTTAATTCCTGGACTCTATAAGTCAGGATCAAGTACAGAGTGCAGTCTGTTGACCCAGAGGATCACAGACTCCCCATAACTGGGAATTGTCCGAGTTCCAAATGACTTTGTCTCATCACTGCCATCTCTGTGGTGTCACTAGCTAGAATGCAGGTGCTCAATCATTTAACTGTCACCTTACTGCAGAATTGAGCTGACTGTCTACATGAGACAGAAACTATTCTGAAAACTTCTCAATTCCTCTTATTTATGCAGTAGGAAACCTCAGCAAGACAGTGCAGCTTTTGTTAGGGGAGGCAGGAAGGAAGAAAACTAATCCTTAGCCAGTGTTGCCACTTAACCAGTGCATTATCGTGGGTTTGAATTCATATTTAAAACTACGTGTAGTCTTTAATATGAAGCAATTGAAGAACAATGCTCTGAGTTGTAGCCAGAAATTTCAGACTAAACAGGATGCAAATATTAAATAAGCTTGAACGTCTTCTTGTGTCACTTAACAGTGCCTTATTAGTCTTGTATTTTGATTGTATGCTATTGTAGAACCAGGTTACTGCCCTGTAAAGCTGGGTATGACAGCAGGAAGACTTCAGTCAGGAGTTAATACATTACAAGGGTTCAAAGAAGATAAAAGAAACAAGGTTACTCCAGGCAAGTGCTGATTGATTTATTTATTTTTGAAACACTATAAATCCTCCTTGTTATATAAACAAAATATGTTGATCTCATTACTATTATTCAGTTTGCATGTGTTTATGACACATCTGAAGAGCACATCACAAAATCTAGCTTAATTTACACATACAAAAGGGGAAGCGTATTCAATAGAAGATTGATCTAGAATGAGAAGAGAAACAATACCAGAGAGATGCAGGGGTTTCTGCTGGCTTTGAAGGAGCATAGTGGGAAACCTGAGAACTGGTTATGCCCAGACTGAATTTTCATATTGGGTTAAGGCATACAATACTGTTAATAGAACATTGTAAATAAATATGCATTTAAAATATGCATTATTAAAAATTTTTGCAGGGTGGAAAGATGGTATTCTATGAATATTTGTTTTCTCTTTAAGAAATAACATTCTTAGTTTCTTCTGAGGGATTATTTGACTACCTCATCTCACATTTATCTAATATGTGCATACCAGAGGTAATAATTAGTACTGTTGTTATTCATTAGTGACATACTTGAACTATGGACCCTACAGTTCGTATGCTCCAACATATGATTCTACGTTTGCCAACATCAGCAAAGAAGATTCTGACTTAATCTATTCAACCTATGGGGAGGACTCTAATCAGGGATCATTCAGGTAATCAGCTAGAGCATGCATTACAGTGGTCATATATGGAAACAACATGCAACTTGCTGCAGTATGGACTGTGCCTGTGCTGCTGAATGATGTCACTGTGTCCCATGTCTTACAGCTACTGCTTTTTTGTTAAGAAACGTCTAATCCCTAATGTTAAGTGTCTGCGTGTAACGCGATGGAAAGCACAGCAGTGACAGCAGGGTAGCAAAGTCCTAGGCTGTACTAAGTGAGGACTTGCTCAAATACAGCAGCTGTGGGCACAGAAACAAAGAAAAGAATCTGCTTACCTTCAGAAGGCCTCAGGTATACAGAGAGATGCCCTCACCTCCACTGCCAACACTTAAATGAGGTCTAGGAAGGGGTGGATCCTGGCTTCACCCCTTCCAGTCACTCAGGTACATTGCATGCACCTGAGCTCCTGGGTTGGTCCTGCTTCCCACCAGGTGCTCAATCACTGCTTCAGGCAGTGACTTTGAACTTCTGCTATACTATAGAAGTTTGCTTTCAGTTTAATGCAGATGAATGAAGATGCAGATTTTTGTTTTTCAGTTCTTGAATCTGAATGTTTTCCTAGGCTACAAGCTCTAGGCAATACAAAAAAAAGGCAAGCCAGTTAAATTCTTTGCTACTTTTTGTGTTTCCCATGCTGTAGGCATTGGTTACCCTTTATCTAACAAAACTTTTTTTCTCTTGAATACAGAATACAGAAGTAGTTGTCTTAACTATCTTTTGATCTTCTAGTATTCATGAATTTTTGATGAAATCGCAAGATTATCCTTTCTTAATGGCTGATAGCTTGCTTGATGTTCTAACTAAAGGAGGACATTCAAGATCTCTCAGAGAACTAGAAACGGTAAGGGTGAACTTGTGAGTTTTCTAGTTGTTACTCCTGGTGCACAAGCTACACAGCTAGAAAATGATGACACTGATCCTAGCGAGGGGTTCCCTTTTTAACGGTGAAATTTGAAAGTGAAGACACCTGTCTCCAGCAAATAGGTTTTCTAGAAAGATACTATGATAGTTTGTTAATTAGAGAAATGTGAAAATCAAATATTGTAGATGGAGTCAGAGTCTCATAGCCTTTGTCCAGCTGTTGTATTTGTGCCTATTACAGTAAGAAAGCAGCAGTGCTCAGCTTAGAGACAAGGTGATCACCGTTCTTTCTTTGTTTCCATGAGAAGTTTGCTAGCACCACTGCTTATTTTAAGAGAATATTAACTAATTTTCCCCATTAGTTAGTGCAGTGCTTTTAAACTCAAATATGTGCTATGGAAGAATAGTAAAAAACTTGCAAGACTTCAGTATCCACGTGTGCCAAACGAGACTGGAATCAAAGGGGCTGATTTGATGAGCAAGATATGGGACCGAATTTGTAAATCATCGATTAGTTGTGTCTCTCCAGAAAGTAGTTACCCCTAAATACTGCTTTAGCTTACTCTGACTTGAGTGGACACTCCGGTAATAAACAAATAATAGGTTTTTAGTAATGATTTGTACGTAAGTGAAACTAATTCTGGGAACAGCTCACAGAGCAAAGATCAGAGCCCCAGCCTCCAATTCAGACCTTTGCTTTGCATTACACGTTTATCACTTCTGTTGTACTCAGTTGTGCCATTGGCTTACAGGGTTTGACCACTGTTGTTGCAAATATTAAGAGAAATGCAGTTATGTACTGAAACAATATATTTCAGCCTGATTGTCATGCTGCTTTTTTTTCCCTTTTTCCCCCTTGAGGTGATATCACTGGGGAAAGACATGTAGATATTTACTGCAAAGAGCAGTAAAATGTGTACTATAATATATTTTGGTAAATATTGGTATCTGAAAAAAGCTGTTTAAAAACAGCTGCTTTGTAACTTGGTTTTACAGAGCTTGCATCATGTACCTCAGATTAAAACCACCACATTGTAAGGTTCACTTTGACCTTAAGGAAAAGATTAGTTTTAATGCCTGCTTTAAAAATCCTTTCTGTATTCAGCCCCTAGAGGAAGATGAAGGGCCCCATGAAAGAAGTGATGCATTAAAAGAGGTAAGGGTAAAATTTTTATATCTGTAAGCTGCTCGAAGAAACACGCGTCTAACACCTCACTTATCCCAACAGCCAAAACCCCTGCAGCTTGTGAAGCAGCGCTGAAACTTTGCATGTAAATGTGCTCTGTGTCACTTCTGACAAATGCATGGAGTCATAGAATTGCTCAGGCTGGAAAAGACCTTAAAGATCATTGAGTTTAACCACAACCTAGCCATACTATCCTAACTAATGAACCTCTGCTGAATCAGAGGGCATCTGGAGCACAAGAATATTCTAAAAGTCAGTCTTATGTAAAATTGACTTTGTCAAGAAAACTAGAAAAAAATGCATATATATTTGTGATTGCTTGACCACACCCTCGATCTTCTGGGTGGAAGCTGTAGTTGTACCATTCCCTCTAAAAACCTGATTTAACATAAGGTTGTAATAAGTGTCAAAGACAGTGATACACAGCTCCCTTTGGGATAGTTTCTTAAGGAGCTTGTGTCCCTGTAAGCATGCAGTGTAGCATTACAATCATTTCACCCAACAAATTTTGTTCAGAGAGAAAGTGCAGTAGTACAGGGAAAGAGCTGAAGCCTTCATCTCCTGTCAGTTCCCCATTGGTTTTAACTTTTATTGTCACATTGTTCATCAATTCAGTCTTAGGTGAGCTCATGTTTATAGTCCAATTGTTTTTGCTGCTGTTAGTTTACCACATCGTTTGTGCACGGCCCCACTGTTTTTGGCAGATGCCAATTCCTTCCTGTCTAAGTATGAAACATAATAATGGGCTGAGTAGCTAGAGAGCAATGAATGTTTCATATGTTTCATAGGGTATCAGTACTGCTTTTTTTTTTTCTTTTTTGAGCAGACTAATTTTAATTAACTTAGCATTCTGATTTACCCAAAACAACTTTGCTGTTTTGAGGTTGATTTAAATATTATCTATCTGAATTATTACTTGCTCTTTTAGATTATGGAAATTGATATCGCTGCAAGATTGGATTCTGCTAATAATGACAGACTAACAGCCCTAAAAGCTGTTACAAACTTTGGCATGCCTATGGAAGAGTTTGATTCTGAGGGTAAGTTAGCACAGTACTTGCAATTTTGATACGTGTCTTTAACTTCTGATGAAAGGTAGTTGATGTTCTCAATCTCTCTGCACAGTTAAGCCTTAGTACATTTTATATCATAAAGTAAAGCTACCCTCTTTACTTAGTCAGGGACTCTTCTTCTATAAACAGAGGCTGAAATCTTCCAGAGGAAACTTGATGAAACAACAAAGCTTCTGAGAGAACTTCAGGATGCTCAAAATGAACGGCTAAGTACAAAACCACCCCCTAATATGATTTGTCTTCTGGGTCCGTCTTACAGAGAGATGCACTTGGGTAAGATAATACTTCTTTTGCTCATTCTTGCATAATTGATGAAGTCCTGAATTATATTAAAGCAGAGGTGTGACAGAGTGGAATCTGTGTCCAATTTGATGTAGGATGTGAATTTATATTTCATTTTTTGTATGGAAAGCCAGATGAAGGTTTTAAACAATAAGTACAAGTAACTGAGCTATCTTATAGTTTATTTCAGTGCCACGGGGCAGATGATAGCCAAGCACCTCTAACTTCACGATTTTTCCAGTGTCTCTGAACAGATGTTTTGTATATTTTCCAAGTTTTTATTGTAAGGATAGTTTTATTCCAGGTTTGGTCTATTTTTATTATGGCAATTCACAGCAATCATTAATTTAATTATCTGAGCAAAGCTCCCTGCCTCATTGGTTTGTTATACAGGTAATGGAAGCCTTCCATGTTAGAACTATGCAGAAAGGGTGTCAGTTCTGGAAGTAAAACTAAATTGTGCAGTATCAACTGCAGTGTACATGATCTGAAGGAGCCAGCTCACTGAGAACAGATAAAATGCTTCAGTGTTGGTCCAATTGCATTTGTGTATTTAAACACTGGTTATAAGATGAGAGACTCGTGTCAGCAGTTTTGTGTGTGTTTGTATATGCAGCTTACAAGTACATCCACTTCTCTTTTTTCAGCGGAGAGAGTAACCAACAATCTGAAGGAACTGGCACAACAAGTGACTCCAGGAGACATTGTTAGTACGTATGGAATCCGGAAAGCAATGGGAATTTCAATTCCTTTACCTGATACAGAAGACAGTGGGGTAGATTTGACAGGTAAGTATCCAAAACTGTTGGGTAGTATCTAAAACAAAACCACAATCTGCAAATCATTAGAATGGCTTGTGGTACAACTTACCTGGTTTCAGCTTTCAGTTATTCTCCACTTTTAAAAATCTCAGTTCAAAATTAATCTTTTGGATATGTGGAACTTTGGTTCAACTACTCAGAATAGTTATTTTATATATTTGCCAAATTTTAAAGCTTGGCACTCCATTAAATTCTAGTTTTTGCATTTAGAGTGAAGTTACAAGAGAAGAGTTAAAATTACTTGCTGAAATAAGGACATCTTGCTCCCTTTTTGCTTACTTTGGCCAGCTGTAGTGCTTTTCTAGCTGACAGCATCAACTTCGTTTATCTAGCAAGAACCACTGATTGTGCTCGAGTCTGGGCAGTGGAAAATGAGTGCCAGAATCAGATCTCCCCCTTGTGGCAGTGGCTTAATAGGTCATGTAAACTATGAAAACACACCTAGAATTTGTTTGTACTCAGTTTATAAGGCAGGTAAGAATTCTGTTTCAAGAAAGATAACTCACACAATGAATTTACTCAAGGTGTGGCTTATAAAAGGTTTTAGTTAAGTTGTTTAGTAAGAACCAGATTGCTTCAATGAAACTGAGAAATCTTTACAATTACTGAGCAATTTAGTTTCCATAGCAGTGTACTGCAAGAGAGGCCACATAACAAACACAACTGAAAAAAGACTCGTGGACAAACAGAACACACACTGTTAACTCAGGACTGTCTACACAAATAGCAAGTGTCTGAGAAGTACTGTGCTGTCTGTGCTCTTCTGTCACTGAAAAGTGGTAAACGTGCTAACTGACCTGGTGTCTGTTGTGAACTTTCAGAGTTTCAAGAACCCAAAAAGACTGTCACCATCACTGAAAACGAATGTGGTCCAGTTACAGTCTGAAGCGTCAGTTAAGTTTACAGGTGTTTGTTTGATTCTATTTAAGAACCAGATAAACGTCCTTCAGGTGCATTCACTGGGCATGTGTATATTGTGTGTTAAAGAAACTACTTTTGTTTATTAAATTTTGGAACTGATGATTTTTGAAATTGAGTTGTTTGTATTAGAATTTCTTCTGCTTCAAAAATGCACTTACTATTCATTTGCCATTCTTTATTATTTTATAGGACTTCTGCTGCATTTAAATTCTCTTTCCATTATTGTGTGTCTGGAAAAGTCAGAGTGTATGTGAAAACGAGCCTGTATAGCGTGCAAAGACTCAGCCACCAATTTCCAAATGTGATAAGTACACCGTGTAGCTGAATCTGACTGAGACAATAATTAGTGTCTGAATGTGAAAGACTCCCTTTTCAAAATAATTCTGCAACAGGCAATGTTGGGTATTTTTAATTGTTGTTACCCTACAACATTTACTCACGTTAAGATTCCATGTTACTTTGGACTTTACAGCAGTGATACGCAGTAGTTCATCTCCATCTGATTAACAGTTTATAACATGTGAAGTGGCATGAAGCTGAAATGAAGAGCTAACTTAAAGGTAAAGCAGAATAACAAATTCCACTTAATCTCCAGCCTTATGTCCAACATAATCTTCATAATTCCTTTCCTCTTCTTCCTCCACTATATAAAGGAGCTGCAGAGGTGCTTGTCTGCTTTCTTGTTTGTTTTTTTTTTTAAACTTACACAATTCTTAAAATTCATTCCTAAAAAGGTTGAACTGTCACCCTGAATACTTCCCCAGTAATTTCAACTGTCGCAGACTGTTTTTAGTTTACTAATAAAATAATCACTGGGGTTTTCTTCCACATCAGTGGCTAATTGTAGCTGATTACCATGATGTTCTCAAAGGAGTGAGTTTTTCATTAATATTTATATTTAAACTTATTTTTGTGCTACAAGAGAAGACAAGATGTAAAGCAACAGTTCCAGCCAAATCATTGTTGGCTCAGTTTTTAGCATCTAATCACCTACCTCACATACCTATCATATAGTGCAGTAGGAGGCCACAGGTGGCAGAAAACAGCACTGAAATTATACTTCAGCTGTTGAATGCAAGTCTCTCAGTATGTATTTTCTACTTGTATGAATTCTCTTAAATATATGTATCAAATTCACTTTGCAACTAAAAAAAGTTTACTAATTCTATAGGGGGTATAAGCAATACAGCTCCTGTTCATGGGTATCACAGAATTGCAGGGGTTGGAAGCAACCTCAAGGGAGCATAGAGTCCAACCCCCTGCTAAAGCAGGCTCCCTACAGCAGGTCGCACAAGGAGGCAAGCAGCCAGGTCCTGAATATCTCCAGAGAAGGAGACTCCACCACCTCTCTGGGCAGCCTGTTCCAGTGCTCCACCACCCTTACCGTAAAGAAGTTCTTCCACATCTCTTTATGGGACTTCCTATCTTGAAGTTTTAGGCCACTGCTCCTTGTCCTATCACTACACAGAACTGAGAAGAGCCTGGGCTCATCCATTTGCTTCCCTTCATAATAACTGCAAAAACAAACAAGTTTCAGGAAGTTGTTTATTTAATAATAAAAACAAAAGTTTGTTCTTTAAAATAGATTGTTAATTCAAAACATTACGAGCTCTTCAGATTAGATACAGTGTCATTTTCATAGTTCAAAAAACAATAACGCTGTGAAGATTTTCTAATAAGATCACTTTCTCAGTCTTAAGTTCACAGTTCTCTTAAGATCAATGAACAGTTGTCTCTTAAATGGAACTTTTTTGTAGTTGAGTAGTTTTCCTAGTATAGTATACAATTTCTGTAGTATGCAAATCCATTCCTAACAAGAAGTTAGTCATCTTCAGCTATGAACCCCTGTTTCTTTACATAAATCTGTTACCCAAACTAAAATTCAGTGAGCAGGACACAATGTCCTTTTAAACAAAGGAAAAAAAACTTACTAGTTCCAGTTCAAAAGCAACAGGTTTCTGTAGGTTAAGGTATGCCCAAGCAAGTCAATAGCCTGACAGGCAATACAATGTAAACAAAAGCATTTCAAAATGCTGTTAGTGACAGCCAGTATTTTTCCATAGATAACTTACATCTAAATTCTACTAGTGCTGTGAACTTTAGAGCCAGCTCTAGCTATAGGCATGATGCATTTCTCAAAATATATTAACAAGGCAAATAGCCACTTCACCTAACTACCATATGACATGAAAGACTGCTGAGTCTTTCACACATGCATGGTCCTCATAACACAATAAATAAATATCTCAAAACAAATGCTTGTAGAGCATCTGGTATTACAAACACACATCGTACAAGAGTAGCAAAAGCTCTTTGAGAGTTTATTCTATTACAACACTGACCTGATACTGAGAAGACACCAAGTATGAAGTTTCCATCCTCAGCAGAGTCCATACATGAGCCTGACAACCTCAAACTAAGGTTTTCTAGCCTGCTGTTTTCTGTTGGAGAATTACTACAAACATAGTTTTGACCTACCAATTTGACAGACTGTAAGTACAGTTTTTAAAATCCACAATATTTAGATTTGTTTCTGCCTTGAAACAGTCACTCCATTTCCTAAAGAAATTACACAGTAATTAGAAAGTGGCAGTAATGTATATGACTGCTTGTTAAAATCTTTTCCAGCATAATTTGGTATGAACCCCTCAAATTAGTAGATGCTGCTTTGTTTGTAAAAGAGTAAGGCTTAACAAAGCAGATGTTGCATTTATTAATCACTGTGCTGTTTAGTCAAACTCCATGGGGTTCTAAGGGATAAGGGGAGAATGCATCCTTAGTTAATACATATATTTAGCCAGAAGATCTCATCATTAGAAAAAACGGTCATCTCCACCAGCAGAAAATAGATTGACTGTGAGCAGGTAAAGGCTAATTTAGATTTTTGCTTTAACTATTAACAACTTAAAAACTTTACAAACCAACTTACAGCAAGCCAGTTTCTGTGATCGCCTTACCAATGCACTAGGCCTACTTTTCAGCATTGAGGCTCTGTTCAAGCATTTCCATTATGAACATGTTTTTCCACATATCCTGCTGTAATCTTCAAAACCAAATTGTTTCATAAACTGCACTGCCTTTAAATGGAATGCAAATCAGCAAGAAGCCAATCAAGTTGAAGAAGCAAAATAGAAAAAAATTAAAAAAGGAAAACTCATCTCAGCTGCAGCTCTGTTTATAGAGTATCTGCTACTGTTTCTAATACTATTTCATTAGATCTGTTTTTCAGTTTCCAAATAATTCAAAACAGATTATTTTCTTCTACAAAAACATTCAAGAATGCAGTCAGTATGCAGAATTCCAGCTGGATGTCAGTGCTAGAAGCTGGTACCAGAGTCTGTCTAACCAAGCATTCAGCATAAACTGCATTAGGTATATTTTTTTGAAATTTCAAGCCAGATTTTTAAAGACCATTCTCCTATATGACTGTAAAATACATGCATGCAGGTGTTAAATACAGAGGCGCATAAACACAAGGGGCAACATATATAATGTGAACACCCCGAACTAGATGAAAGATTTCTGGACAGCTGCTGGTTAGGAAAACACTTGCATAATACATGATACTGCAGTGGAGGAGGAGAAGATAATGAAGAAGTCATCCAAATCTGTGCAATTACTTTTTTTTTCCACCTCAAAGGCGCTCAGCTCGGAGCTTACTTGTATTTCTCTTTCCATTATTCTGCCGTCTTCTGCCATGAGGTTTGTTGAGCATTAATAGCAGGATGTGCGGCGCCTGGAGAATCATCTCAATACGTCTGTGACAAATGCAATACTGTGTGCTATGTGACAAAAAATGAAGCAGTGGAATATTTTAACAGGAAAGGAGCTCAGCAGTGCATCCACATAGTTTGTTACTGGAGCTATTAGACTCTCACAGTGCAAGTAAAGAAAGGAACCAACAGAGAATGCTTCACGGCAATTCCAGGTAAATCCTGAAATCCTTTCAGGAAAAGGCAGTCTTTCTCAGACTGGTGGTTTGCTAGGAACTTTTCAGAGCTTCTTTCGAAGATTAAAAAAAAACTGAGAAAAATAAACACCAAAAACACACACATTCTCCTATCTTTCGATGCAGAAGAACTATGAATACTATCTGTGTATTTTTAGAATAGTCTCCTTCACATAAGGAGAGAAGTTCTAAGTCTTCACAGAAGGGAGGCAGTTCAAAGCCTACTTGCATTAACTTTGTCTTAGCCTCAGTTCAGTCCAATACCTTGGAATTTGGCTGTCTCGGTGCAAACAAAGTAAGTCCTCAGTTCTCCCTTTCCTTTGACGTTAATGAGTCCCCTACATTCACACGAATATCCCAGGTCCTGTAGAATTCTACTCGTTTCTTCTGTGACCTTTATGTGAAAAGAATTAGAAAACTCTTTGAAATAGTACAGATTATTCAAAGAGGAAAAAAAAATCCATAACCAATTAGAAATAATTTCTTAGAATTTCCAAAGCTTGTACATTTATTTACCTGGATTTTTCCAAGCTCCCCTGTACTCTCCATCCTGCTGGCAACATTAACGGTGTTACCCCAGATATCATACTGAGGCTTCCGGGCACCAATTACACCAGCAATCACAGGACCATGATTTATCCCTTTATAAATAAAAGCAGGTATCTTTACTGAAGCAGAAAATTACTTGATATCTACCTTCATTATTAGCTATAAATTGTCAGTCTAAAGGAAAGACAATAACAGAAAACTGCACCACACTGACTGTCTAGCAGTATTACCACTGACGTAGCACTGAGTGGCATTTGGGCTTGGGAGATGTGAAATTACTTACTGTATAATGGAAAGTCCAAGGGCTAGGGTAGATCTCATGCCAAAGCAAAACTTCTCGTTCTTAATATATAGAAAAAAACACTTGCATAATGCTAACACTGACTTTATTTAATTACAGGCTATCTCCCTCTTCACCTGCATCTGTAGTTTTCTCCAAACCGATCCAAGCTGAACTCCTCCTGTTGCTCCTTCCAGTGATTAGAAAAAGGCATTCCTTAATTAGCTTGGCATATTAAAAAAGCTAGACTAGACAACACTACTTGCAACTGTGCAGCATTTTATAAGCACCTAAATACTGCACTCAGAGTTAAGTACTGAGTGTTATGGAACGCTCC